CGCCCTGACTTGCCAGGAGGGGGCGGTACAGAAAAGTGTGGACCCGTCTCCATCTGTTCCATCTGCATGGGATCAGAGTTTTGCCCCCGAGCATGCGCGAGTTTTCTCTACATGAGCCAGTTTCCTCGGACATGTTAATTCACTGAACACATCTTCATATAAAGACCGCAATGTAGCAGAACCCTTGATTTGAAGCTTTCGTGACTGCAGGAATCCATACTCTTTGGTTCTTTCGGTAAAGTCACGTAAAATTATTTTTTATTGTATACCTACGCAACTTTACCGAAAGAACCAAAGAGTAAACGCAGAACCCTAACTGGTGGCAGGCTTTCGCGACCAACATTATCCACAACAGAGGTTTTTGGTTGAGATCGCGTAAATATAAACGTGTCGTTCAACCCGCCACCACCCGGCACATCTCTGGCTGTCGCCTTATGATGCCAGATGTCATTACCGGCGAAACGTCGTACGAGAATGTAAATGTTATGCGTTTGCTCTCCAACACACCGGTGTGCTGAACTACTAACGAATTGGTATGTTTCGTTAACGTGAAAAACCAAAATAACAAAGAGAATTTGTTGTTTTTCCAAATTCGATAAAAAAAACCCGCCTCAATATTTCAAGAGCCGCAGTGCAACGTGAACCCGAGCCCGTCCTTGACGAAGCAGTCCTGAAAGAGCCGCAGGTTGCCAAGCCCGGTTCTTTACGAAATCGTCTATGTCATTCATTTGATTCAGTCTCTCCCGTTGTGGCCCGTAACTGGGTTAATGCTTCAATTGGCTCTTAAAAATCGTGTTATACAATTTCCCTGTGGTAGCAACGCCCTTGTGGCCAGCGAAGCTGCTGCTGATGCAGTTTCTCCGATCTGGCAGCCCGTTCCGATCGGTATCGCTGGATTTCGCCGTGATTTTGTGTTAAGCCACTGCCCGCAGCCTTAACGTTGTGAAGCTGATTTGGAGTCATTTATTTGCATATTTGCATGAAAAGGAGGCCTCAATGGGGAGGGGGGTTCGGTGAGACCCCTCCCCTCCACGCCCCCCCCCCCCCCCCCCCAGTGATGGAATAGCTGCCCCCTTATCCAAGATTTTAATACCAGAACGTTAAAGACATCGAGTGTTCGCTCGATCGACGTTCCTCCTCGATGGCCCATCCCGACGTGCCGTCGCCGTTGGCCACGCGGCTGTGCAGACAGCACACACACACACACACGTGCTCGGCCTCACCTCCCCAAACTTCCTCCTCCCATTCCCAAGTAGTGGCGGCAGCGACGATGTAGATGCTTTTTTCCCTCTCTCATTCGCTCCTCTTTTCCCTTTCTCTTACACCCCCTTATGCCCCTCTTAGCCTCCCTCTCCACACGTGTTCCTTTGTTCGTGGCTTCCTGCAGGAGGCCATGATGATGCACGAGCCATTTGCATGGCAGGCAAGGGTGCCATGGAAACTGAGCTGCCCAGCGTGGCTGGAGGATGGATTTTGGCTTGCCACGTGTGTCGGGCAGTAGAGTGAGATGAGAGGTAGGAGAGTATGTGGAGAGTGCTTGGAGGGGAGCAGAGAGAGACGAGAGGGGAGAGGTAGGCAGACACGGGTCCATGGAGAATCTTTAAGATGGCGAGGAGTCTGGCAGTTGCCTCTTTGGATCTGCTAGAGTTTGAAATTGTGTTAACTGCAGATTTAGACCACATAGAACACCGTAAGATAAAATGTGTCCTTCAAGTGTGCTCAAAATTTGCTCTTTTTTTATTGTAAACAAACAAAACCGAGCATGGAGGGCAAAGTCTCCGCAAATGTCTCAACGCGTCTCCACAAGTCCCTCCGCTTGTCACCGTGCGCCCCGTGTTCTAATACTCCATGTGCACCTCCAGGTCTCCGTACAGATCCTCCAGCATCTCCAGCACGCGCTCCTGTATCTCCTCAACCTGGTCTGGGGGACAGTAGTCGTCCAGGCTGGACCTATAACATACACAGGGTCAACAACACACACACAAAGAAGACAGATCACCCGTATAGCCGATAACAGCCTGTTGGGGCAACGTGCTGTTAGAGAGCACCTATGAAAGGCCGGCATGGCACACAAAGGGATGGGTGGCCAACACCACACCCAGACACTTTTGTCTCCCCATTGCTGATGTTTCCTCACTGCAACATGAGCTCATTTTTGGACCAAATGTGGGGGGAGGACCAGGACCAGTCCAGATATAATTCGCTCCTGATGTTATGTCGCCGGATTCTTCGCACAGTTTCCTGACCACTACACCACACATGCGCAGACACATACGCAGACACATAAGCGGTCAGGATAGATGCAAAATGTACTGTCACCCCACACATATGGGGCCAGTATTTATGCAGACTGTACCAATACAACACACACACAAAGGGGTGCGTGCTCATCCATCTTGAACCACAAGACAAAGATCCCTCATGTAGACTTTAACAGATTGTTGGGGCACAGCACACGAGGGAGTGGGTGGCCAGCACCATACCTGGCCGCCTTTGTCTCCGCAGTGCTGTTTACACACCACACCACTCATTTAGGGCTTGTCGACTTAGGTAAGGCCCAGAACCGATTCAAACATACATCACTGACGTTGGCCATGAGCAGGAATCTAACTCGAGTTGCCTGCTTCGTACCGCAGCGCGCTCACCACTACACTGCCGCTCCCCAAATACTGAACCACAAACACGAGGCCAGTATGCACGAGGACTGTACCAAGAACACACACACACGGGGTGAGGGCGCAAGCAGGCGAGCAGACCGTGCCATGGTGACGATGGTGGGGGCAGGCAGAACGCACAGCGCATCCCTCAGACCGAGCAGCAGGGCGCTGAGCTCTGGCTGCGAGCTCACGTGATGCGGCAGCTCCTGGTCGTCGCACGTCAGGCCCGCCTGATGCACCTGCACGCACGCGACGCACGTGGAGGGGTTGCGTGACTGGGTGCGTAAACCGCAATAAGCAGAGGACTGGGGCAGCGTGGGGCAGCGTTGGGCAGGGTGGGGCAGGGTGTGCCCTCTCCCCTCTCATCTCACTCCACTCCCCTCCACGACTCTCCTATCTCTCCCCTCTCTCGTGGGTTGTCGCCTTGTCGTGGTAGAGAAACTTGTGTGCCTCCAATGACTTAGAGAAAAAAGCCGGCGGGAGCCTTGGGCTCCCAGTAGGTCCAACCATGCCGGACTGATCAAAGGGTAGAGGACAGACGAAATGGACAACCCCTGGTTCTCCAGGTTGGGCGTGGGGCTACAATCCCACCCCGGAAAACCCAGAATTGTTATGGAGCTGCAACAAGAACATAAGAGAAAGCTGCTAAAGACCATCCGGCATGGCGTGGGCGTGTTGCGGCCTTATGCTCCACAGGGAGCGAAGAAGAGTAGAATAAGAAGACCGTGTAACTATACTGCTTCACCCTACGAACTCTCAGATAAAGCAACCAAGGCTGTTAGTCGACGCCCCGAGTCGACCTTCGTTCAGCAGGAGGTCGCTCATCTCCTTCTGCTGCCCCCATAGTTTGGAACTCCCTCCCCCAGCAATCCGTGCCTCTGTTCAAGTCCATGATCAAGATCTTTTCTCCTCTGCCTATGACGGATCGCCTCGTTCTCTCGATGAAATGAACACACCCATTGTTTCCACGCAGCGTCTTGAGACGTGGCCAGACGTCGTGCTGTGTAACTCCACATTGTGTTGTGTGGTTTTAGAATCAGGCTGTGTTTGTAGCTTAATTGCACATTGGACACTTCCTGCCAATTGTTTGATTTGACCTTGGTGGCCCTGTCGCCCCAGTTGGCTGCCTGGGGGAAATCTCTCCAGCGTCTCCCTGCTCCGTTGTTATTTCTGTTCACGTCTTATCCCCCATTCTCCCCGTGTTTTTTACTACGATGTATTGCTCCCGCACGTGTGTACGTTTGTGCGCAAATACGTACAGCCCTTTTGTAAACCCGCTTACTGGACGAGGGCCTCCCCGCCACGCCTTGTGGGTTCGTGGGAGTTATTTGATCATACTTCGCCACGCTAGTCAGTGCGGCTTCATATCAGCAGGAAGCACGGACGTGTTCAGCGCAGTATTCTACAACAATGGAATTTGCTGCCCACAATAGAGCACCACGGCAACAACCTTCAACACCGAATCAAAGCGCTATCCAGGCTTAGCAGCAGCTGCTTAGCTGCCGAGATCAGGTGCCTGCTGGGTGATTTGGTCGTAGGCATGTTTGCCCGGTGGCCACATCGCTCGTGACGGAATCACCGTCGTGTTTTCGTGGAATCATCCGGGCAACATTGACCGTCCCCCCCGCGGAGTTTCATCACAGCCCGCCCTTTGCCCTGTTGCGGCTTGCCACCCACGGCTGCGTGCACGGTGAGAACGACTGGGTCGTCACCATCGCGTAGTCAGGCCGCTCCTTCAGCCTGCTCTTGAGACTTGTCACCAGCTTGACCAGTGACGTCCACCTGCAATTAAAAATGTACAAATCGTGAGTTGAGTTTTTAAGCCAGCTGGCCAGGACTGGGAAAGGACGATGCCCAGTTTTCACTCATCGACTAACATTGACCATCGATTTACATTGCCCCCAGACTTGCATTGCCTGCAGACTAATATGCCCACAGACTTAGAATGCCCATAGACTAACATTGCCCAAAGACTAACATTGCCGATAGACTTACAATAAACAAAGACTAAGATTGCCCATAGGCGAACATTTATTTGAATGAGTTTTAGAGCCAGGCTGACCAGGACTGGGCAAGGACAGATCGCCACCACTTTTCACCCAGGCAAATGGAGAGCACAGACTTGTTACTCTAAGGACAAACAATTTCACGTATTTAATAATGCTCAGTTTACAAAATAAATTACAAATATACATATTCTTGGTTCTTTCGGTAAAGTCACGTAGAAGGGAAATAATAAAGTAATAAAAATATATTTTTTGTTTTTATATATTTTTTATTGCATTATTTCCCTTATACGTTACTTTACCGAAAGAACCAAGAATATGAATCCCTGCAGTCACGAAAGCTTTAAATCAAGACAAATATACACTTAAGAATTTAAATAAAACTTTTAAACTTCAAATAATATTCAACCATTCTCAACCTCTCTTGGACAATGTGGAGCCAGGATTCTTTTCAAAACCGTGTTGGAACGGTCTCTGACAGAGGGAGAAAGGTCACTGCTTAAGTGCACTCGTCAAACACAGTCTGTCAGGGTGAGGTACAATGGGTAAACTTTCCCTTCAGATTACAGAAATGTGGGTTAAACCAAACCTTACATATCTATGGGGACCTTTCACCACTATCAAGATATTTATGCCAGGAAAGGTGAAACCATTTTTGGCATTCAAATCTTGATACTGGCAAAAGTGTCGCACAGATATAACTGCTTAACCTGAGCTATTCATGCTTTTGTGTTCGCATTATCTCCGTACTTTTCACCTTTTGGCAGAGACCACGCTATGGAAGAGTACGTCGCTGGTGAAGGCCAATCACTTTCAAAGAGTGCGTACAATATCGAAACACATTCCTTTGCATTTTTTCCCCACAAGTATGCGTGGTTAATGCAGACTAGATGTCTTGAAATAGTTGTCTAGTTGGTGTTTAAACACCTGAACGCCTGCCAGTAATCCTTTTTATATAATTCAAACCTTGCACATGAACAGGATAAGAGCTCCTTTTCCTTTTGTCTGTTCAGGAAATGTCATTTCAAGAGCTCATCAAAGTGCAATGTGGAATAGGTACCTAGCCTCTGAAATAAAATCCAGATAAGAATAAAAAAATACATCAAATTGTTCTGTGGCTGAACACAAATATATAAAAACTCATCACATCACAGTCGTCATGAACACCGCCTTGGAAACGGGCTGACATTTTGAGCAACGACCCGTATAATCGGGGGGCAGCCAGTGCCCGCAAGAGCCCCTATTATTTTCTGCAGTGACACTGTTATTGATTCACGTGGAGTGGTTTCTATTTGTCATTTGTGGTAGTGAGAGGTGATCGAGGGATGATTCTTGGAAGAGCAGCGGAAGACAGAAGAACGCAGAGGGAAAGAACTGTGCCACTATCTACGCCGCACAAGAAACCTCTCGTACGAACGCACGGCCCCTGCCATGTCAGTCAATCATTTCCTCTCTTTGTACCAATTTTATTATAGTCACGTTATCATCGTCACGTGGTGACAAGACAATGAAATTTACATTCCTGACTATTTTGATTAGTTTTGCTGCTATAAATGTTCAAATGATAAGCCACTTCGTTGAGTTATATTATTGATGGCCGGGTTCATACCGCGGCAGGCTTTGTCTGGTAGGATGGTTTAGTTTCATTTGTATGTGTTTGGGCGATTTATTTACCTTTCTTGGACTTTGCACTACAATCGTGTTTTTTGTACCGTTTGCTGTTGTGACGTTCTTGCCCGTCCCTACTGGACATCTGTGAATAAAAGCTTTCTAGCTCATTGGATTCCTCCCCCAGTATAAATAAATATTCTGGTTCTGATTCTGACATTACCGTGCGTCTGCCAACAGGCACCGAGGGTGGCTTCACGGACCTGGTTTCCAAGGTCACTCTTCGGTAACCTCTCATCTGCACGAATGGCACCTTCATTTACATTTAGATTTTCATATTTATTTTGGAGACGATCGGGGGCATGATGCAGCACGAATGCACGTCGTGGGGTGAGTGCGGTTTGGTGGCGAATGGCATGGCGGCACACGCAGTTTTATTAGCACGGTGGCGATTGTGCGGTTTGATTGAGACGGCCGTGATAAGTCGCAAGTGGTGCAATGGGTGCGGTGATGCGTGTGTGGGTGGTATATGGTCTTGATGGGTGCGCTGGTGTGGTTTGGTCGAGGCGTCTCGACACTCAGCCTGGGGTGTGTGTGGTGAGTGCAGTCGTGGGGCATCACCGTGGGTCGCTGTCGAGCACCTCCAGGCTCTGGGGGCCATCGTCTCGGCTCAGCTCCACAAACGTCAGCTCCAGCTCCTCCAGGTGCTGCTGACGCCGTCTCACGGCACTCACCAGAGCCTGCACAGCAACCACCGCCACAACCACCACAACCATATGTAAGCCACCACCATCATCAAAACTACGGCAATCATATTCTTTGGTTCTTTCGGTAAAGTCACGTAGATAGAACATAGACGTTTCGATCACAACACAAGCGATCATCTTCAGAAGATGATCGCTTGTGTTGTGATCCAAACGTCGTAGTTTATATTGTATTCACTATTATTATTTTTCTATGTGACTTTACCGAAAGAACCAAAGAATATGAATTCCTGCAGTCACAAAAGTTAAGTAAAAATTTTACAGCAATCATTTCAACCACCCCACTACACAATCATCACATCCACACATTCATCACAACCACCACTGCATTCACCACTACAATCACACACGCACGCCACCATTGGACTCACAACCACCACAATGCATCACAGAGGTCACCAAGGGCTGCACCTCAAAAGCAATGCAATGGTCCTGCTGCTGGGCTATGATTTCAGCAGAGGGCAATGCCTAAAAATCCCATTTGTCCGTACTTCCATGAGCCCCATGCTCCCACGTCTCCCCACCCACACCAACACACACTGACCGGCGTGGTGAAGTATGGTCAAACAACCCACATGACGTGGGAAGACCCTCATCCTGCATCAGACTGACGTGTATACATATAATCTTTTTTATGCAATCTCGTTAAACTTGCTTAATGATGAGGGGTTCGTTGGAAATCTGTTTCTAAATTATTATTGAACCTACATTTGTGACATTTCTATTTATTTTACCCTAAATGACTTTATGCAGCTCAGACCACCTGTGCGAAAGAGACAATGCGTTAATTCGCGCGTCTAGTTAAATCCAGGTGTACATATGTGCGGGTAAGCACGTTATCAGGCTATAGGAGCACTGTCCAGCCCAGGTAAAACCCCTCCGCGACAAACGCAGCTCAACACAGCAATGCCATCACCTCCTCCGTGTCCGTGTCTGGCCGGGAAAACGCGTAGAGGTCGTGTAGCAGCGCCAGCTCCGCCTGTCGACAAACGCGATCGTGAGTTACGGTGCAAAACGCACGGCGGCAAAGACCCGGGCAAAATCCGTTTTGCTGTACTTCTGCACGTCTCTGCTCACACCGCCTTCACCGACCTGCACTGACCAGTGCACAGACGTGGGGAAGCCCCCATCCAGCAGTTGAGTGACAAAAGGATTAACGTGTATAAGAAAATGGAGTTCTAAAATTCAAATTCTTGTATTTTTCTGCAAGTTCCAAAGCTCCGCTCATTGCAGTGGACAGATGCCAGCAGGACCGTCGCTTGCTGTACCTGTGTTCGCGTGAAGGTGAAACGATGAGGCGAGGAGAAGGGAACACGGGGGGGGGGGGGTGGGGGGCAATGCATGGCGAGCAGAGCATCGAGTGATATCCCCCTGTATGAGTAGTAGGTTTTCTCTGGGTGAGTAATAGTTTCCTCTCACATGGCGCCAAATACTCAATCACGGGATTGGCCCAACATCGTCCCAAAGCAGGATCCTTCTGAGAGAGTCCTGTGACCTCTAGATGTTTCCTGGGGTCCATACACGGGATTATAATTACTGCACGTGGGAAACGTGACGTAGCGCCACCTCGTGGTCTCACTTCAGCTCTTCCTGCCGTCGCTTTGGGCGTCGGCGAGTGGATTAAAGAGGCATCATCGCATTAAGGAGACATTAAGCCTGTACCGCTGTGATTTAGGGTAAAATGATTTGGCGTTTCATTTAATGTGACAAAACGTCTTAGTTCTTAGAATTAAAAACTTACGTTTCAGTTTTATTGCGATGTAACGGGCATCTCTACGGCACGATGCATTAATAAAACGTCACTTGAAGGACTCACAGAATGAGTTCTGATATCTCTTTTCGCATGCCGCCATCCAACACGGGGGCGACGCACTGCCCTGCGAGAGTTCCGAGTGAACACTGCCTCGTGACAAGACACCGATAGGACATACGGAGAACAAAAGTTGAACATAAAACAAGAAGATGATACATGCTGAGATTAGAGTGGATAATGGACGCAATAATCAGCACAACATCTAAGAAAAGCACGGACCACTCTCCTCGTTGAAGCCGTGCCAATATACGAGGCTCCCAGAAGCACAACTGCAAAAGTCACGATGCACTCGGTCAACTGTAGGACAACCGTTGCTGCACCATTTTGTATCGTAATAGAACACTTTAGTTGCCCAAATCTGTCAAAATCTCATTGCTTTTTCAGCTAGCAGGCAACTGGGGATGAAAACTTCCAATCAGACCACAGGTGACAATACGCGATGTTGTGTTCCATGTAGGCCAATTGTTTTTCACTGAACACAATTTTCAACAAACTCCGTATTCTCTGAACTCCGTCATTTTGCCAATACCGTACTGAGCTGCTATAGCGGCTCATGGTTAAATGCGAGCGCGCTGGCGATGATTTCCCTGAAAAATACTCTGCTAGTGTACACCGTGTCCTCAAAATATCGTGTTAATTCAGGGGTGGTGTGCTCCAGCATAAACGTATTATGGACAAAAGCCTGCTATATTCACCAAGATAAATTTAGAATGCGTTTTTGCGTCATAAAAATAATTAAAAAGCACCATGAAAGGGTAAGAAAAGAACATGACAATCTACCGAAAGTCACAATCCAATTTCGAAAACTGCACAGTACTACACTGAACAACTCTCTGGTTCATAACTTTTCTGGAATAAAAAATATATATATTTGAGTACAGCAGCAGCTGTGGGATCTGGCAGATGATAGAAAGCGTTAGCAAGGTGTGGTGGCATTAACCACTTTAGCCGTCATGACATCTTGATATTGACCTAAAAATAAAACCTTTATGTCCAGGAGGACACGGTATAATTGGTGACGTGGGCCTGGCAATCGCGTGGTCGCCGCTTATTTTACAGAAGTTCATGGTTCGAATCTGGCAGGTCGCCTTGTTTAATACCGCTGGTGTACTAACCGTAACATACCGTACACACAATCTGCTTCACATCAGACGTTAATGAGCTCGTGACATAATTCGACATGAGTCGGCCATTGTATTCTGGCATCATGGTCAAATTTGGAAAGTTTGAAAATGTACCCACAAATTAAATGTGATTTCAGATAATGCCTCCCACTGGCAGACTAATGCCCATTTAACGGCCGGTGCTGAATCATCTTGTGCCGCACAAGGACCAGACGCCACTGGCGGTGACCTTTGAATGTTAGCGATGATTTACGACGTAAGGCGCTTTGAGTTGCTGAGGCATGTAAACAAGCGAAGTTTAAATGTGAAGATGACTGCAATATCTGCGCACGTTATTTCTGGTGCGCACTGCGTCTCTTAGCCTTTACTGAACCGATGAAAGTAGCCGAGCTGGGCTGCCTGCCACAGGCCGTCTGCGATGCTTGGTGAGGCGAGCGCGCACCTGCGAGTATATGTCGCGGAACGGATTCTTCACGGAGAAGAAGTCGAGGTCGATGTCGAGGATTAGGGTGGCGCCGTCGCCGGGGCACGCCTCCAGCAGCCTCAAAGCCACGGCGCGCACACCCCCGCGCCACCGGTGCCCCGCACCATCCACATCGCACGACTCCTGGCCACGGGGGCCGTTCACTGCGGCGGTCACCCCCGGTGGAACGGGCCCTCTCGTTGGCCCTGCTGGGGCCCCCTCGGGCAACAAATGTCGATCTGCGGGTGACATCTCTTCAGTGGGTGATGGGTCTTTCTCTGCAGTGGATGTTTCCGGCTTTGGTGATTTTCTTAGTTCAACTGGTGATATTTCCTGTGCAGGTGATGTTGCAGGCTCATGTGACGCTTCCTGTTCAGGCGATGTCGTTTGGCCAGGTTCTGATTGTCGTCCAGGTGTTGCTTGCTGTTTCTGTGATGTTTTGTCACGTGACATTTGCTGCCCAGGTGATGTTAACCGTTTGGTTGATGTTGGTTGCTCAGGTTTCCTTTCCTGCCTGTGTGATGTTTTGTCAGTTGATGTCTGCTGACCAGGTGATGTTCTGTCAGCTGATGGTCCTGCCTTCACATGTGCCCCGCTCGCCTCCTCTCGCCGTGAGCGAGACTCCGGATAATTGACGGATGATGCGGCCTGACCTTGCGCCACCCCAGGCTCCACGTGCGCCGCCTTGGGGGGTGCGGCTGACTCTGTCTCCTCCAGCTCAAGTCGCCGCTTCCTGCCAGCCGGGACATCGGTGCTGGCGCCAGCATCGTCGGCATTCAGCGGGAGGGTGACCACCTCCAGCGCCACCGGCTTAGCGTCCTCCAGGCGGCCCTCCGGCAGGTAGAGAGCGTCGCTCAGGAAGTAGCTCTCAGTGCTACTCACCCTGCCGGAACACGATTTATGCAATTCGTACGCAAATACGATACTGTTACATTTAGGCTACAAACTAAACAAACATATTGAAGTCTTCAATCACATCATGACGACTGATGGAATTACTTGGGCCACGTGAATAATTGGCAATGGGCCCTGGCCCCCTGAAACGACCATGACACTCATTGGGTCCTAGTTACTTTGTCCCCTGGGCTTGTGCTCATTGCTCCTGGGCTGTGCCACGGCGTTCCTCTCACTCCTCTTCCGTGCGCCCCCCCTACCTTTCTCCACTCCCATTTAACCTTCTTCACTAATGCAGTCCATTCATGCAAAGTGTTTTAAGATATAGTTACATGCGGAGACTATAAACATTGCAACGACTGCTGTTGAGTATTTTGTGCATAATAATTATATATATAGTGCTGCAATTCTAAAGATTCTAAGGCACTTTAGAGAAGAGGTGGAGACAGCAAGGAGATGTTAAAAAACAAAATATTAAGGAAAATAAGTTCGAGGTCACCCTAAACTTTATGGAATCATGTGAAAAACTGGAAACAGTGAAACACGAATTCCTGCACCATGAGAACTGGAATAAATCTGCCAGAGGCATCGCGAAAGGTTTTTAATGACCTCCAGATGCTGACGAGAACAAACACGCGACG